ACCATCAATGAAAAAAGTAACACTTGATCCTGATGTTATTTTTTTCATAATTGTATCATATGCAAATTGTTGTTTATCATTTAAGCTTGATGCACAAACATAGTCTCCTTCGAGATTCAAATTTGTTGTTTCATCTTCAACCATTCTTCTTAATCTATCATTCTCATTTATATCTACATTAAATGGTACAATTTTATAGTCGTTTATGTTTTTGCCTAAGGATTCTAAAATACAGTTAATATCTTTTAGAGCCCGTAGTTCATCAACATGTGAAGGTATATTTCTATGTACATAATTATCAATTATATAATATTTGAATTTATTCAACAATAACTTTGGATCATTAGGGTTGCAGAGTACAAGAAGAGTAGCAAAAAAAGGTCTTAAACAAATAGGCATTTCATAAATAATAGCTTCGGATAGACATTATTCAAAATTGTTATCTCCATTTAATAAACCATGTAGAAGTGCTGCTTCTCGATACGTGACAATAGTAATCCCATTTGAAGTTCGTAAATCTTGAAATGATGTTGGACCTCGAATATGATTCATAAGAACACAAAGATAATATCGTTCTCCTTCAGATGGATTTACTGTAGCAATTCGTCCTATAACAACCTATTTCTTTCTGCGAGTCCAAACTTTCTTGTTCATATTCCAAACGAAATGTGTTGGAAAATCTCAGTACAAAAGTGTACACGCAAACTCATTTTCTTCATTCATTCGAAAGAATTCTGTTAGCATTGTTTTTCTTATATTTTCATTTTGAACAACAGTATATAAATTATCTTCATTGTCGTACATTACTTGTTAATGATTTTCGATATGAAGCTATAAAGAATAGACCGCCGGACAAATTTCTGATAGATTGAATGAGAAAATCCTCCACATAGCTTCTGGTGGAGATATCCATCTAGCAGATTGATAAGCAGAAATTTATCTATTTCTTTCTCTATTTCATTCGTGTGAACTGAAAAATTGATACGATCATGTCCTTTGTAAATATACTTGTACAAATATTTGATAGCTTTGATAGAAGAACATACTTCGACATTAATATGACAATCAAATTTTGCACTTAAATAATGATTGTATGGTACAATACATCGATTGTCTAACATTTTGCCTCTAACTCAAACAGAAATATTAGTATCACAACGCTTATACAACGGATATGAATCCTGACCAAATACAGTAATATTACAAAAATCTCTAAGGTATTTATTTTTACAACCTTTATTTCCCTCCATGCATGTATTTTAAGGATTCAAGTTTCCACAAGAACCACGCATATTGTGTCTAACAATAACAGAATGAAGATGAGGGTATTTCGTTTTGTCAGAAATTTCATATGACACAATTCTATCAACTTCTTCAGCACAAGTGATTTTATTTATAGAGTTAAATATTAACAACATATGAGCATGAGGAAGTCCTCTTTTTTGAAATTCAATCACATATATATGTGCAATAACAGACCCTAAAATACTTGCTTTATATAAATCACGTTTCAATTCTTTTAATTTTGCTCTAAATATACGTACAATTAAATTAGGTCGATTTTGAACTTCGTCATTATTCTTTAGTTCTTGCTTAATCTCTGGCCAATTTGGATTACATGTTATAGTTTAAAATATATCTGATTTTCCATAACGTTGTACAATGACCATTCCATCCATATATCTTCTTAGCATATCACGAGGCCCACATGTAAAAGATTGTGGTAAAACAAATTTTCTTCCAACTTTACATCCTTTAGTTTTCCCATTTTTTACACTATCTACAATATCTTGGTAAAGTTCAGCACGAATTTGTTTCCGATTATTACGAAAATAGTCTAACCTGACAGTTTCAATCTTAACGTACATATCTACAATATATTGTTGAAATAATCTACCAGCGTGAAGTAACACATACTTACCAGAAGGCCTAATTTGTAATTTATATGAATATTATTCTCTACAAGATACCTGAGTACGTTTCTTCGCTTCACCGAGCACTACAGAATCCAAATACAAACCAAATTCAACATTTATTGATAAGATAAGATACTAAAAAATATAGAGAACTCTAATAGAAGATATATTTGCAAACCTTCATTCTCTTTTTCGATAATTTTAGTTGTAGAAATAGTTGTGTTAAGAATAACATCAGATGTCAACATATGTTGAGCCTGAAAGTATATACTTCTGCATCTCTCAATGCCTTCATGCCAACCAGATTCCCCATACGGAAACAGTAACGGATATTGCAATGGATCATAACACCCATAATAGTAATGAACTTTGAGTGAATCGTCAGAATAACCGTATATAGAAATGTCACGAGTACGAACATTAGTATTTTCATTATCTTCGACCCATATAGCAGCTACTTGAGATGTTGTAGGAGTATTGAAAACTCTTTGATCAAGTCCTGGATCACATCGTATTTGTATTGGATGATCATGCCAGTTAATGACATCACTTAACGACCTAAAAAATTTACTATATGGATTTGTTTTTAAGATTTCAATTAAAGCAATTAAAGTAGATTCAACAAAGTTTAATGAAATGTTCATAGGATTTTGAACTTCATCTTCTGTATCGTAAAAATATAATTGCATATAAGAAGGTGTATTATTTTTCGGCATAAGGTCACTTACATAATGATGTACTTATCCTTGAACTCTAAATGTATAAATACCTTTATACGTTTTAAAAAGTTCCTTATCGTACTTCACACCAAATGAAGTGAAAGCAAAATGATTATTATATCCCCTTACAATTTTTTTAAATTTCGTACAATGTAGTTCTTTAGAAGTAAATAAATTATATAATTCAACCGGTGAGTCATATATAAAGAGTTTAACTTTTCCATCAGAACAACAAAAATCCTTACTTTGTCTATAAAATTTGCGTGCATTACAATGTTTACAGTAGTTGAATGTTGGTAATACATATGCAGTAGATGGTATGTTCAATCCTTTGAAAGTTTCTCCTAATTCAAAACTGACAATATTATGCATTTCTTGATCTAAAGTTGAAGCGTAAGGATGTTGATGCATTATAGATTCATCTAAGTTGTGATCGATAAAATCATTCTTTTCAGATAACATCGGATTACTTCTCCTTTTATGATAATCACTACAATTATTTCTAAGTCTTTTTTGTCTCTCTTTCTCTTTTTGAACTCGTTGTTGATGACTGAACGCTCTATGTGACTCATTTTCACTTTCGGACGCAATGTCAAAGTTAACATTAACATGGTCTTTGTCAATAAACATTTCCAAAATATCCATTATAATAGCAAAAGAATTATTGTAGATTTCAACTGCAATGAAAGCAGCATGATGTAAAAAATTGAAGAACATTATGAGCAAACGTATTAAACCATTCACAAACAAAGACTAAATTAATTAGTTACAATAAACTCTTAAAGACATTAAACTGTTCAAATTTTCTAACAATATAATAATCATATAACATCAATTACATAAAAATTTAAATATTAATGATAACCAAGCATATGTGGAAAAGCTTTCAACAATGGAGAAAAATAATTGTAAAAAATAATATTAAAAAAATAAAATATAACTATAAAAATAAGTAGAGTCAATTACAAGAATGAATAAAAAAAATTTCTGTGTCAACATACAAGAACAAAACTATATAATAATCATTCCAATACTTTCGAACAAAATAAATAAATTTATATAATTAAAATTCAAACAATGTATAATGAATTTGATATATAACCCATCAATTTATATCTGTATTATTTATTTTGAGGAAATTGTAATTAATCGTAGATATTTCATAATTTTTCTTCTTCAGCACATGCATATCGACCTCATTAGTATGTGTCAAAATATTGTTAAAGTGACTTTAGAAAATTAGGATAAATTGTTAGTATACTTAATAAACACAATTAAGAAAAAATAACATATTACATGTGTGAAACCCAAACTAATTATAAAGAACTGATTAAGAAGACAAAAAAAATATACACAGAGAAGTATTTGCGCCCAAAGGATACATAACCATGAAGTAAAAAATTATTTAAATGGCATTTAATGAAGAGAGTGTGAAATATATACAACAACTTATAAAGAATCAATTAAAATAATAAATTTTCTAATAAAACTTACCCGAAAATTATCGTCGCAACAACGCCAATGATTCTACAAGAATTGTTAGTTTTTACTGCAGCAACTGCCCAAAAACATAACATCCAAAGACAAGTTACAGCTTGAAGAACTTCTACTATGAAATAAAAAACCCAAAATGGCATAAAGAATCCCTCTTTTTCGCAGAAAAAGAAGAAATAATATATAATATCGTAACATGAAAAAAAAAACAATTACAACTAACTAACCTAAGAAAGCTCGTTACGATACTTCACGTCCCTACTATTTAATTTACTTGCAGATTTCTTGTCCTTCGGGTTGAGAGAGCGAAATAGTGTCTTAACTTTGTTGGAAGAAGATTTATGAGAAAGTAATGATACAGAACAATTTTCACATTTATATTATTTCATTTCTGAAAGGTACGGGATTCAACAAAGTCAAAAGATATTTTTGAAACTAAGTTGCAGTAACTGGCATTAGATGGTTGAATAAAGTCAACAAAGGCAGCAACAATTAATGCAATCAAATTTCATCATTGTCTCCAGGGATACACACACACAAAATTAATGCAATCAAATTTCATCATTTTCTCCAGGGATTTTTTTTGCATGAATAGTGCATAATAGGTTCACCTACAGTACAAAACGAAATTAGTGTGAAACCTCTGTCTCAAGGTGAATAGTGATGCAGCCATCCTCTCTTTTAATGTAAAGGAGGATAAAAAGATAGTTTCTTATTTTCACATAACATAAGAATTATTATCAAAATACTTTGCTTATTTTCAACCTTAAACTTTGATTAAAAAAAACACTTATTTATTATAAATTTACTTGTCTGTATAAGCCACTTGCGACAGCTTCTTCATGTTTGCAACTATTAACTGATATAGAGATAATCGAATCCTTTCTGTTCTATTGGACAATAGATGCAATTCTCTTACTATAGAGGTAATATTTTTATAGTTAAACTACAAATTTTCCTAGTACAATTAAGCCAAAAATGCACTACAATCACAACAAAGAGAGAAATACAAAGTCGAGAAAGAATACATTGTAAAAAATAAAGTAAACAACGTTCAACATTCCAAAACAGCTCTTTAGCTTTGATCTAGCAACATCACTTGATTTCTTGGACATGACAGCTGCGTGAAGAGTTCACTGAGATGTTGGCACTAACGAGAGTGCTAAAATCCTGAGATTGTTTGCTTGGGTATGGCGATGCATCAATGACCCTAAAAAACAACAGTGAAGCAATTCTTAGCTTGAAATAAAAGTTGATATCAAGCATTCAAAAAACTCAGTAACATACATCAGTATTATGCAAATCTATCGGTATCAACAAATTTATAATGATCATAATACTGTCTACCTTATCTATATCTCCCCGAATATGAAAAATTCATCTGTATGTACATGTTTGATATGCAGTACTAGATGGGAGTAAACAGTATAATGACATCTTGAGCAAAATGACCTTTTCTTGTAGGGGTTAGCCTCACAAGCTTCCTTATGCTTTATGGGGATAGAGGACTTCAATTCAGACCCCTACTAGGGGACGAGTTTGGTTGGGAAAAAAAATAATTGGATTCAACTAAAGCTTTTTGGAACGTATCAATAAGTTAAGACCCATGCTACAAGTTGTAAACTCAAACACACAAAAAATCCGTTGGACTAGCGGATTCACACCTCTTACAACCAACACAATCTTCGATTCTTAAGGCATAAGCAATTTGAACAAGATTTTAGTTTCTTCTCTCTACTTTAATATTGCATAGTACTATACTATCCTAACTACCAAGCACATCATAAAGATGACAATAGATAACAGTGTCACATTTTGACAGCCTAGCAACTGCAAAAATATCTCTGTATGGACATTTTCACTGCACGTTTCTCACAGACAGTTCGTACATTCTAAAAGCAAATGAAACCACATTCATTGATAGGAAGAGCAGTTGTGCATTTGTATCTAATGCACACGTGATTAATATGTTTGATAAGTTAAATTGGATAGGACTTGACAGTATTAAAAGAATACTTATACATGAAAAACTCAAACCAACTCAATTCAACCTAGATGCATTTTCATTCATCATTTATAATTGAATGCCAAAAGTTGTACCAAAAACAGAATATAAATTGGAAACCTGCACAATATAAAGCGATAACTAATTACCTTTCTTTGCGCTTCTCCAGAAACCGAGCCAAAGACTTCCTCCGAGCCTGCGGCACAGCACCTGAAAAATTGAGAAACCTTTATTATGCTTACATCAGGAAATTCACATAACGAAAGCTAAAATCTAATCGAGCTCCATCCAAGACATTGAAGAAATTAAAAAAGGAACGAGAATGTACCTGACGAAAGGAAGGTAGCAGGAACAGATCCAATCAAATTGACTACTTTCATGGGCTCCACTTTATTCGGAATTGGACCAACTCCTGGTTTTATGGCCTTCAGATAATTGTTGCTACTAATCCCTCCAGCAGACTGAGAGACGTTAATAGAGCTTACAGACATGGGGCTTGAACAGTGCAATGTTGCGCCATAAGGCTTATTTACACCAAACCCATCAACAATAGGAGATGGGATCCCGGGTGCTTGAATTGAAGCAGCAGGCACTGTTGTTTGAGAAGTCATAGGGGACCCATGTCCGGCCAATAACATAATTGCCTGAGCCTGTAGCCGTGGATGAAAAATATTAAGGAAAACAAAACCAATTAAGTACTAAAACTGCCCTGGAATTTCTGAAGGTTCTTCGAATATACCTTTTCCGGAGGAACATTGTCAAAAACACACACAGAACCAGCATAGAAGATGGTCAACTGAGCAGGAACACCTGAAGTCTTCGAAGCACTCCTACAGAGCACCTCAGTTTGATTAAGCCTTGTAATTATACTTTTGAGTAAGGTTAGATTCCAATTCATACTGAACTCATTAAAATATGTGACCTGTCTGATGCCAATCCTAGGAGAAAATTTTCTACTTCAGAATAATTAATCTTTTATTATTAACGCATCTGAGCCATTTTGGTGTCTGATGCTTGTCACGCCGCAAAGCTCCATCCTAGGCAGAACTTTCTACTTTGTGCTTGTTTGACAAAACTTTGCTAAAAATTTTCAGCCGATCAAACTTCAAATTTAACCACACATTTCATAGGATCCACAATTTTTATTAATTTTTCAACAACAAATTTCATCTAATTTATTATCAAAATATGCTAAAACATTTATCAAAAGCAATGACAAACTACCCCTCACTTCTCTTTGAAAGTTTATGCTTATGCTTATAGTGTCATTTGACATACCTCAAACCAGTGGCATCCATAACAGAGCTACTAGGAGGAACAGCTGGGAGGGGATTTGTTACTGGAACAGCCAGAGGTCGCGAGCTTGCTGAATAACTCAGATACTGTCCAGCTAGCGAAACTGTTTGATTTGTTTGAATGTTAATTGGCGGTACTCTGACATCTTGAAGGCCATGTGCTTCGAAGTTCTGAGCTGGATAGGTTGTCACCTTATAGTGAAGTCCCCCTTGATTTCCAGGAAAAATTGTTTTCTAAATATTAAAAAGGAAAACCCAATAAAAATGTGTAAGATATAAAGAAAGATATTCTATCTAAATCACATCCTTATTGTGAAGGAAAAATAAATTAAGGCCTCGTTCGATAGCCATTTTTTTCAAAATACATTTTTCTCTCTCTTCTTTTCAACCACATATTCTTTATTAAAATAAATCAAAAACTTTTCCTTATTTCTCAACCACACATTTCACATCAATTTACTATTCTAAAATGTATTTTTACATAAAAATGTCTATCAAACACCCCCTAGGATTTTTGTTGGTAAGGTTTTCTTAAACATGGATATAAAGAACTTATACATCAAGTCTTGGAATCAAAAGTTACGAAAGATCCAGAAGGAAATAGTAACTCACCTGCATGACGCCTGAGTATGGTTTCTGATCAGAGTTGAACGCTTCTGTAGAAGTCGTTATGGTAACCAGTCCAGTCGATGCAAGGGAATCAAAACCAGTCTTAGGTTTTTCAACTTGAGCAGCCTGAAAAGATAACAACTGAGGAACAACAGAAACCTTGTTTGAAAATGACCGCTGCATTGCTGAACTTCTCACTGGACCTACAGAATCAAAATAAAACACAAACCTATACCAATTTAGTCAAATGTATCACTGGAATTTCCAGAAATAACTACCATCTAATGAAACAAGAAAAACACTTTCATTTATTGACTATTACATAAATAATTAGCAACTAAGCAGCAATGTGGCAAATTGTAGGTTTTGAAAACTACATAAAAAAGATGACAGTAATTGACCTTCCAAGGTTATTCACATATGAACATTTTCTAAGAGAACAAGCTAAAAAATAACTTGAGTTACTTCTAAGTAAATTTTTTCTTCTTTCAAAATCAAGATTGAATAAGTTGATTTTGGTTACTTACAAATAAGAAATGTTAATTTATTTTGACAATAAGGTAAATGTTACTTTCAAAATAAGTAATTTACGGAAACTTATTTATTATAAGATTAGTAACTCGAGGTACCTGGTGCAGCTGTAAAAGGTGTGAACGTATTGAACAACTTAATTAAAAATTGATTGCTATGCACTCATGTGAATTATAATGAGTGATTATTATACTCATCAAATGCAGAACAAGCAAAGAATATGTAAAATCATCTGGTCAAAACAAATTTAATAATGCCACCATCCCATTTAGAATATAAAAAGCACTTAATTTATCACATAACTTATTCCTCTTTTTGGGTGGTACCATAATAAATTATTATACATGTCGGTGTCATCTTTGAAAGCACAACTCCCTTTAATTTAAAATATTAATTTAACAAATTAAATAGTGTAAAAGATGAGGAGATGCATGATGGCAATGCACACTTTAAATAACACAAGAAAGATGAAAATGAATATAAAATTCTGAAGGACTATGAAAAATATTGAAAAATTTCCCACTGCAACGCATAAAAAAATATTTTTAGTATCCATTTGAACCGTGAAAAATACACCTCATGTATCAATCCACTCAACGAATAAACAATTACTGTAAAGTTAAGTGTAAGAAAAAAAAAATTAATACACTGTACCTCTTGTTACTCGACAGCTAACTGCAAATAAAATTAAAATAAATAGCGAAATTACAAACTTGACATCTCAATGTATATAAACAATTTTGAGTAGGGTTCTTTAAGATTCCAAGAAATAAAATGAAAGTAATCTAGAAATCACATGATTTGTTTTTGTTCTTTGTGTTAAAGACGAGCTTTCAGACTAGACTGCAGCTACTCAATTATTAAAAATTTTGATTAAAAAAAAAAGGACTCATTCATCAAGACTTCTTTTGCTTCTTGTAGAAAGAAAAATATACATGAAGCTACCTTAGTACAGCTTTCTCGGAAAGTTCTAAATTATCTAAACCAGAACACAAAGTTTAATTATGCTCAGATGTCCAGCCACCATCTAATAGCAAGATGATTAATATGAAATTTAAGCTTCGAAAATTTACGAAAATCTATATTGGGTTGTTTATTTTGTTAAAGCTACTTCATTTTTGTAAACCTATCAAGTTTTTTCCATTTCAAGATTATTTATCTAAAAATAAATGACAACCAGGCACAAAATACGTAACTAAAACTACTGCTTTTAGAAATTTGACACTTCAATTTCTCCCTTATATGGATATTATTCTCAGAACAAATCATTATATTTCTAGATATGATAAATTTTAAAAAAAAAAAGAAAAAGAAGAAGAAGAAGAAGAATTTTGAAGTAGCTGAATCCACACCTTCATCAGGAGTCTCCTGTTTTACAGACAATCCCATGAAATCTCTCTCCATTTTCAACTCAATTCTTCAGCTCAGAATGAATTCGGGAAAATTCCCTTTAACCAGACGGAAAGTAAGGAAAAAAGATATCCGTTCTAGAGTTCGAATGGATAAAAAAAATTAATAGCTGCTTGGAGGGTTTGGCTATCCGTAGAGTGAGTATGGAGATTTGAAGAGAGAGAGAGGTAACAGAAAGGTTGTATGTATATGTAAGTATGATGGAGAGTTTGTGATACGACGACACGCTCTAAAGATTCATACATTCTCGTGGCCAAAATCCTTCACCGGCTACAACAGGTCATCGATTCTGTTTAACTGAAATATTTAAAGGGCAGATTTCTTTAGTCTTTTGATTTTGTTTTTTCCTAAATATTTTTAATTAAATTATTTTTCAATAAATAATTTTACACATGAATTATTTATTTATTTATATATATTATTTTAAAAAAATCGCTTCCCATAAAAATCAAATGCTCAATAATTATTACACGCGAGGTCTTCAATCTTTGCATGATGTACGATTCAGACATCTAACTTATGTCCGTTAATATTAAAATCTTTATATTTTTAGTGCTTGTTTGGGAGAACCAAGAAGATGATTTCATAAAAGGGAGTGGTGGATCCTCTTAAATAAGTGATATAAAAAGTGATAGTAATTTTATGTCCGACGTAATGTATGATTAAAATTAATTGTTGACTTTGACATTAACTTTTAAACAACTTTTTTAACTTCCACGTACAAGTACTTGATCTTATTATGTTTTAGACCATAGATCGATCATTGTCACTATGATCTCCAAATCTTCAAATTGTCATTTTAAAATAGAACCAAGAAGATGATTTCATAAAAGGGAGTGGTGGATCCTCTAAAATAAGTGATAAAAAAAAAGTGATAGCAATTTTATGTCCGACGTAATGTATGATTAAAATTAATTGTTGACTTTGACATTAACTTTTAAGCAACTTTTTAAACTTCCACGTACAAGTACTTGATCTTATTATGTTTTAGACCATAGATCGATCATTGTCAATATGATCTCCAAATCTTCAAATTGTCATTTTAAAATAGAGGATGAAAGATGTGGGAGTGGAATGGAAGACTATTGACTAATGGTTGCTATAAGATGTACAATGTTACTAAAAATTGATAAATAAAAAAATTTGTAGGTCCCATGAAATTTATGGGGAAAAGAGGGTAAAATTTATAAATTTAATAAAATATATGATTAAAGATAAATTGAATATATTTGATCATTTTTTCAAAAACAAAAGCATTACCAAACGAACATTACGTTTTTTCTTTTCATATATTATCTATGGTTTGGGGGGGGGGGGGGGGTGGAGGATTTTACTAATCAAATTTGAGTTCCTAATGGAAACGTGTTACTTGCTCGTCCGGTGATATGTGGTTATCTACCACGTGCTCCAAGACGTTTCGGAATCTGTAGATTTATTCTGACACGTAGCAAAACACGTTGGAAAGCTCTAATTTTCCGGTACAAGTTTTCAAACAAATATTTGGTCATCTCAAATATTAATTTTATCAATTAAGCTGTGGCTACAGAAATATTTTACGGAAAAGTCCACAGGAATTCAAAAAATCTCACGTGGCAACCATTTTATTCAAAAAAAAAAAAAAATTAATATAGTCACGTGGGCACTGTAAAAAACTAGGAAGAAAACTTATTTCCCTCCCAAAATAAAAAACCAGTTGCCCTAATCCCCATCGAAATCGAGCGCAACCGTTCGCCAATACTCAGCTCGATTTACTGTAAGTACGACGGCACCATCTCCGGCTAAGAAGCCACCGTACAAGAGGTTGTTTGGAGCGATACGCATTTCGATTTTCCCAGTGGTTTGAAGAAATGTACTCTTCTTGGCTATGGAGATGAAGATTTTACCTTAACTGTAACTCTCTGCTCGTCATCCGCTTGCAACACTCTGCTGTTCATTTCAAGTCGGGATCGGGTAAAATCTCAGACGATGTTCTGCTAATTTTTAGAACCTCAAAATATAGAACAAACACACATTTTTTAAGTACCGTGCCTGAAAAGTATGCAAAATCTTGGAAGTAAAAGTTATACTGTAAATTGAATTCAAAAGATAATCTAACAAGAGAACCTAGTTTATAATGTGAATTGACAGTAAATCATATGAAATGTAACTAGTTTATAATGTGAATTGTCAGTAAATCTTATGAAGTCTAATATGTTTTCTTTCATTTTCCTATGAATAGCATTCAAAAGTCACAAACCATAGGTAAATTAGCAAATCAGAACACTAAATTTTGCTAAATCAATACAAAATCCTAAAACATGATTGTGGAAAAGGGGGGGAAATAAATTGAGCTCTGCATGTGCATATGTGTGGACATTGCATTTTTATTTATATTTCATTCTCTACAGCAACGTGATTGTGTGGTATCATTACGTAGAGGTTCAGTTAATAATTTGAGCTAAAAATGCAAGTTACTTAACAAAGCAGAAATGTTGTTATACCAATTTATTTGTGGTAGCCATATTAAACGAAAATGTTGTCAGTGGATGATACCTTACTTCTCATTCATGCAAACAAAACTTCATCCTAAATATGTTATAATTTCTGTGGCAGGAAAAGAAATTATGGAAGATGAGAATGCTGATGTCTTGCTACAATGTGATAACGAGAATGCTGTGGAGAATCTGAATATGTTGGACAACGAAAATGTGGGAGGAGATGTGGAGTCAGTGCCTAAGGTGGGTATGACATTTAGTGATGAGAAGGAAATGTTTGACTTCTACAAAAGCTATACTTACGACGTAGGGTTTCCGGTGCGAAAAAGGAATTCAAAAAAGGGGAAGATGGAGTTATGAGATACGTTACGTTCACATGTAGCCGTAAAGGTCGACGAACTTATGCTACAGGCAATTCCTTGAAACCACTACCAACAAGTCAAACTGATTGTAAAGTAAGAATATTTGCATTTTTAGATAGTCTGGGAATATGGAGGATTAACAAAGTGTATCTTGAGCACAATCACAAAACAAGTCCGTCCAAGTCTAGATTGTACCAATGCAACCGAAAATTGAGTGCGAGTGTGAAACGAAAGCTCGAAGTGAATGATATGACAGGAATTCCGTTACATAAGAGTTATAACTCAGTAGTTGTTGAAGCTGGTGGATATGAAAATACGATTTTCGTGGAAAAAGATTGTCAGAGCTACATTGAACAGGTGAGACGTTTACGCCTTGGGGAAGGAGATGCGATCGCAATACAAGCGTACTTTTCAAATATGCAAGCACGATGCTCTGGTTTTTTCTTTAGTATGGACTTGGACGATGAAGGTAGACTCAAGAATGTTTTTTGGGCAGACAACAGATGTAGGCAATCTTACAAGGAGTTCGGTGATGTTGTCACCTTTGACACTACCTATCTCACTAATAAGTATGACATGCCTTTCGCCCCTTTTGTCGGCTTGAATCACCATGGACAATCCACATTGCTCGGCCGTGGATTATTATCGAATGAGGACACAGGGACATTCATGTGGTTGTTCAGAACATGGCTTGAGTATATGCACGATCAAGCTCCTATTGGAATCATTACTGATCAAGATCGGGCGATGCAAATGCCATTGAGATTGTTTTTTCGAACACGAGGCATAGGTGGTGCTTATGGTTGTGATTTCAAGGGACCATGTTCAGAAGAACTCGATATTTTCTACTATACATGGACTGGTATACGACTCCGAGGATGTGCAACAATTTGAAGAAGGTTGGAGATCGATGCTCGATACGTATGAGTTGTATGACAGTGATTGGCTATCAGGGTTATACGAGAATAGAGCTCATTGGGTGCCTTGTTTTTTGAAAACCATGTTTTGGGCAGGCATGTCAACGACACAGAAACGAAAGCTCGAAGTGAATGATATGGCAGGAATTCCGTTACATAAGAGTGATAACTCAGTAGTTGTTGAAGCTGGTGGAAATGAAAATATGATTTTCGTGGAAAAAGATTGTCAGAGCTACATTGAACAGGTGAGACGTTTACGCCTTGGGGAAGGAGATGCGATCGCAATACAAGCGTACTTTTCAAATATGCAAGCACGATGCTCTGGTTTTTTCTTTAGTATGGACTTGGACGATGAAGGTAGACTCAAGAATGTTTTTTGGGCAGACAACAGATGTAGGCAATCTTACAAGGAGTTCGGTGATGTTGTCACCTTTGACACTACCTATCTCACTAATAAGTATGACATGCCTTTCGCCCCTTTTGTCGGCTTGAATCACCATGGACAATCCACATTGCTCGGCCGTGGATTATTATCGAATGAGGACACAGGGACATTCATGTGGTTGTTCAGAACATGGCTTGAGTATATGCACGATCAAGCTCCTATTGGAATCATTACTGATCAAGATCGGGCGATGCAAATGCCATTGAGATTGTTTTTTCGAACACGAGGCATAGGTGGTGCTTATGGTTGTGATTTCAAGGGACCATGTTCAGAAGAACTCGATATTTTCTACTATACATGGACTGGTATACGACTCCGAGGATGTGCAACAATTTGAAGAAGGTTGGAGATCGATGCTCGATACGTATGAGTTGTATGACAGTGATTGGCTATCAGGGTTATACGAGAATAGAGCTCATTGGGTGCCTTGTTTTTTGAAAACCATGTTTTGGGCAGGCATGTCAACGACACAGCGTAGCGAGAGTATGAATGCATTCTTCGATGGGTATGTGCATTCAAAAACCTCATTGAAACAGTTTGTCGAGCAATATGAAAAAGCACTTAAAAATAAGGTCGAAAAGGAGTTCCAGGCAGATTTCAAGTCGTACTCTCAAATGGTTCTGTGTGCGACAACGTTCGTAGTGGAGAAGCAATTTCAAGCAGTTTATACCATTTCAAAGTTTAAAGAAGTTCAGGAAGAGTTCACTGGGAAGGTGTACTGCGACGTCGTCTCGAAAAATGCGAATGAATATTACTGGTCGACCTACGTGGTCTGTGAGGAGATCGTTGTTCACGAGCAGCCGAAGAAAAAATCATTTTGGGTATCATTTCGGAGGGATACATGTGAATTGATTTGTAGTTGCCTCTTATTTGAATTTCGGGGTATTATTTGTAGGCATGCGATAGAAGTGTTAATGCGTAAAGACGTGATGTCAATGCTTGAACTGTATATATTAAGAAGGTGGAGAAGAGACGTTAGTAGAGCACACTCCAAAATCGCAGTAAATTATGATGGATT